AGAACAGACGACAAATGGATGAGAAGAACAGTAGAGTGGACTCCAAGAGAATGCAAACGTCCCTTTGGACGACCACTTGCACGTTGGGCGGACGTGTTCGTAAACAAAGTTAATCAGCTGTACACGCAGCTGCAGTTGTTTTACAGATCACTGTATGAAACTCACAAACTCTACCATGCGTAAACAAGGCCACCACCATGGACTGCGATTGGAGAGAAAGGAACGAATGGCATATGTGATGGGGTCCACACAGCTCGTGATGACGGAACATCCAAGTATCCAAGTAAGTAAATCCTATGAACTGTTGAGCTGAAGCGAAGTCCTTATCAGGTGCTCTAATAATTCTATGGCTGACATTTCGACGACTTCGCATTCTTTGGAGCTTGGGCGTATTTTGCATAACTCTGCTCATATAATGTTCAACCTTTTATTTTCTGGCAATCATTTTTTTCATGGCAGGGTACTATGTTTTCTACAACCACAATGGAGATGCGATATTTGCAAAACTTTAACCCCAGATTCGAACCCGCGACTGCCCTTTACGATGGATCTCGTGTTACCCATTACACCACTGAGGCTCTTGCTTTGCTTTTTGCAAATATCTCAGCATAATTGTGATTGTATCTATTCACATAATTCGTTGAATTTTGTTTATTGTCAATGATGGCCCAATCATAACGTGGTGTCAATATTGCACTGAGTATTATTGAAGATTCCCATTACCGACTTCCCATTAATCTCGAAGTTGGTCAGATAAGTCATCATCTAGTATTGTGCTGAATAAATATTGTTGTTGACAGCCTCGTTTCGGCTCGTTAAGAAAATAGTGTTGCAGAGGGTTGGGTACGGATCCGTTTAACACTTTCCACTAGAGATAATTCTCCAGTTATTTAGCGCAGTAATTGTTTTTGGATACAATTTGTTAGCCGCGCATGTAGCCCAATGGTTAGAGGTATCTTGCAGCACACATGGAGTGGTGGATTCGATCTCGCGCCCCAGGTTCACGAGGCTTTCTAACCATTCGAGGTCGGTGAATTGTTACCAGATTTGTCTGGGAGGATAGTAGGAGCACTGATTTGATATAAAACCCCTCTAGACCACCTTAAATCATAGGCCAGTTATGCATCCAAACACTTCTAACGATACTTAGTGAAGTGGAAAGCATGGCGCTTACCCTCAGAGGTTCAACGCTTAAAGCGTTTTTTATAACGAAATTTCGTTGTATGTGATTATTGTGCTTCGTGGGTTTTCTTGATTCTCAGCGGTGGGTTGGATCTGAGACTTGGGTAGTGAAACCGTTTGTTTTGACAGTCTTTAAACAACAATCGCACAATGCAGTTAGAAGTTTGTTGCGTAGTAAAGTGACTGAGTGGACGAAAACAACATATGGGATTGGTAGACATCGAAGGCTTTATCGTTTAGCCTTTTCTTTCTACATATTTTTCTTTTCCGTCCGGGTTGAGTCCGTCCGTCCGTCTGTCCGTCCGGAACTGAGCGCCGGTGTTTGCGCTTGCTACGGAGCGTGTTGCGTTCGCGGAAGATAACCGCGGTCGCCACCACGCGAGGCGCTGCTGACTGCCGCGCTCGCATCGATTTTCGCGCCACGCGGCGTCGCGCCTCGTTCGCCTTGTCGGTTTTCCTTCTCTCCGCTCTTCATGAATACTAAAGCTTTTCGTGTATAGTTGTTTTTATGTCCAGCATAGACTTTATCTACATCATTTATTTCATTCATAGTAGTTGTATCTCATGTGACGAGCGAAAAAAATCAATAACGGAGATTTTCGTGCTCTTTGCATTTTACGTAGTCTCCTCGGGTATTCTCTCGTTAATTTCGGTGCCATATGTGTATATGCATATAAATAGTCCACCATGCTAGTGGAACAAAAAGAATTCTCTTATCTCCCACGCGACTTTCAAATTACTGTCAGCGTGTTTCATTTGGCCTGGATTCAACCGGTAATCCCGTTAATTATTAAGTGACTCGAGCAGAGACTCAGGGAAGTCTCCATTCGTCCTTATATCCTCCATCAAAGCTACTTATTTGAAGTTATTAGGCACATTTGAGGGCTAAAGTGGTTATGACACTTCCTACACGAAACTTTTTACTTTCATCATCATTACTGTTTTCTTTTCGTTTTTTTTTTATGAGGAAGTACCTACCGGTTATTCGTCGCTTTTGCTGGGAGTGTTTCTAGGAGAAACCAGCGATAACACAACTGGGACTACTACACCGTCATTATTTTCGTGACGGTGTTAGTTTACGGTAATGACTAATGTCCTGGTACTTTTGGTCTATCGTTGTCTAGAACGAGCAAGGCTCTTCAGTTGAGAATCCTATCTATTATGTAGTTCGAAAGCGTAAATGGAGTTGTTTTTTATTCCATGCTAATTCACTTTGAATCCATTAACTTTTGACGGACTTTCATTTATAGCAAAAGTTGTTTATTAGTACTTTTTAAAGTACTTTCCTTTTTATGTGTACTATTTTGTGATTGGATTATCAGAAATAATCGGCTTACAGCTTTGATGTCACTGAAAAGGGGTGGGAGTCAATATGGGTCATACCGAGGTCATCGGGTGTCATAAATTTACTAGGTAAATTTGAGAATCATTGTGGTTTCTAAAGAAAATTATCTTCTATTGCTTCAACTGGTTGGTTCGATCAGGCGTGGAATATGGTGGTTTATACAGTTTTTCTTCCTTAGTTGTGCTTCTTATGGTTATTCTGTTTTTTAAAAAACCTTTGAGCCTTTGAGCCTTTGAGTCATATAGCCGTTAAGATTTATCCCTTGGCGGCTTTGGAGTTGATGTTTGCAGTTTTTGGCTTTCTGAGTTTCCTTTTTGATTCACATAATAATTTTCCTGGTGCCTTAGATGTTTATAGGTGGAAAATTGGCTAATTTCGTTTTCTTTTTCGTTTTTCTCTTCTCAAACAAGATTTTGTTCGGTTTTCTTAAACAGCTGATGTTTTGCTTTCACTATCCGCTATAGTTGTCATTTAGTGATATTAAGTGGACCTAAAGTTGTTCACATTTGTGACAGAGCCAGATCGTACCGTCATGTGTGTCTACTTTTCTCTGCTCCTCTAGAGAAAGTGCAGAAAAAGATTCGCGAACGAGTGATTGAGGACATCTTGCTGGTCGTTATATGAGTTGTGCTTTTAGTTTCTATTTAGACGATGCATTTTGGGTTGACTTTTAGGGCTTACCGTTAACTCTTTGACTCAGTATGGCTCATCGTTCATAAACTTTGATAGTTTTTATGCTTAGGTGGTTTAAATTACATTATGAAAAAAGAAGGTAGCAACATGAACGATGAAATCAGCTGACTAATGACATGTTTTTTTTGGGGGACCGGTCTGGTTCTTTGTTGCACCATCGAGGTGTAGATCTATAAATTTACACTTTATTGATTTTTCTACATCACATGAGCATGCAAGATCTATGGATTTTTAAATTATTGATTTATTCTCGGTTCATATTGTTATTAAATTTTGCCGGTTTTTTACACGAAGCATCTACCTGACCATTTTTAAAACAGAGTCCCATTTTTTGGTCTTTCTTACTTTCACACTCAACTTTTCTTTGGTTCACGTGGATTTTACCTCTTTCTAGAAATACTTGGATACTTGGTCGGCCCGTCCTCACCGCTTATGCGGGCCTCAACATATTCTTCATTTTTTGGAGTTTTGCTGAGTTAGCCATTGTTTACTTGGAGTCCGGAGGTCAGCCTGGTCAAAGTCTGCCCCAAGTCGTCACCACCACAGACAGTCACCGCCCTGTGGATCAGAGGGGGAGATTTGCCACCGTGCAGCTAGTTTTATACCAGGACGGTGGTGGATCCCGGTTCTGGTTTATTATTAGCTGGGCTTCCTGACGGAAACGCTGGACTCCCTATCAGCATGGAAAACTCTGCTGGAGGGATGAATCCCTCCGCTGTATATCGCACCCCAACATCCAGGAACAGCTCCCACCCACGAGGCGGTAAATCGTTGGGTGGCGTTCTGGAAATAACGCAATCGATAACTGGTTCATTGTTAGTTTTGTAATTGTTTTATTTGGAAAGTACCTAGTAGTCTTTCTTTCGGTGGATGATGTTTGAGCATTTATGCTTCTTCTTAGTCATCGTTTTCTTTTTTCTCTATAGATATCCTGGAGCCGGGTATTTTCTAACAAAATGCTCCCAAATTTGTGTAAAAATAATAATTTTATTTATGATCTTGAGGTTTCCTTGCGATGTTTTTGATAGTTCTATTCGTAGTATTCCAGATAATTCCTCAGTTGGTTAGCAATAAAACAATAAGCGGTTGTTTCATGGAGATTTATCGATGGCTGTCCCTTTTGCCTGAACCGAGTTACTGGGTTTTTGATGCTCTAGAAAAATTGGAGCTTCGTATGCGTATTCGTCGTGTAAGATTATTCGATTATCCTTTATGGAATTTAGTTTAGCGGCCATTCGAACATCAGAATACGGTAGTTGGTCTTTATTAAGTTTATTTTTGTTTTTATGCTTCCTTTTTGATGTCACAAATAGCTTTTTGATAAATAGTTTCTGCTATTACTGCGCCATTCAACGTTGTGTATATGGGCGCGTATAGCGCAGTGGTCGGAAGCGCCCTGCAATGCACATCATGAGATCGATCACCAATCGCAGGCCCACCAAGCCTTCCGTTCCTCCAGGGTCTGCAAATTAGTACCAGACTTTAATAGAAGGATAACAGCACTTCTCGATACATAGGTGGGCCACCACAAGTCATCGTAAAGGCTAGATATGCATTCAGGACCACCTCCAATGGTGCTTTGTGAAGTCGATTGCTCGGCGCATCCCTCAAGGATTTATCGTTGCCGAGAGCTTTGTCCTTTATTCTTTAACGTTGTGTATGAAAATAAGGAAAACGTTTACGTAATCGTTGTTGACCACGACATTTTACTACTCGTTCACATATTTTGTGATTTGTTTTTTACAAACCTTCACAAAAACGATGTTTTTAGTCGTCGTCGATGTCCTCGCCCCTACTTACCGCTTCACCTACGGCGCCACCTTCAGCACCTAGCAGTACTAAGCAACCAGCATTCGATGATGCCTGCTTTAAGACACCACTGCCTTTCAAGTGAGACAATGAAGCTAAGCTTTGAATCGTTATAGAATTCATTCAATTGATTCTTCCTTCATCTGGATCAATTTTTCGCCAGTTTGAAATGGATGGCATGCAATTGCGTGTTTTTTTTTGTCCATTGAAAATACATCTACATCGCAACATACGTTTTGCACATGTGTTTTATGGGATTTATTCCGTTGTGATTTGCCTTACGAATGAATAAATAGACTGGAGGGAATTTTTTAACGAAATCAAAATCTCTGAGTAAAACGATTTCATAGAGGAGCACCGTAGTCTTGACGAAAGTAGCGTGAACTTTTTTCAGATTAGTCGTAGTTGCGGACTGTATTCTTTAAGTGACAGCAAAAAATCATCTTTACCTAAGGAAGATTTTAAGTCATATTGGAATTTCTCGGATTACTCACTTCATCTAAGAAACCGCTGTGCATCTAAGTATTTTTATATTATTGTTGTACATTACCGTCATGCCACAGCGAAAGTTCTGAGCACTTTTTGCGTCCAGTTTCTTACTGTAGCTCATATCAAATTTTTGTACTTTTTTAAATCATAGAGTTTCAATGAAGAATCAGCTAGTACATCTCGAAGCGGCACGTTCAAGATTCTGTTTCCATGAAGTAGTAGTCCACCAAAGGCAGTAACATGTGAATGTAAATGAGCAGTCGCTTTGTCTAATAATAAATCATTGTATCACAGTGGTCATTGAAAGCTGTAGAGTGCTTATTCTGTTTATGTCTGTCGTAAATCTATCTTTATTACTAAATTGAGTTTTGAATTATATCTGTAGTTCTATAGTTTCAACTTCTCAGGTATGAGAACTGTTTATAATCATTATCACTTTACAGTAGGAAACCTAGACGCGGTCGTGGAGCGACATCTACAACGGGTGGAACTCGATTGAATGGATATCACTCGAGCGGAAGTACGCGAGGTGGACGTGTCGGACGTCCGAGCGGTACTGCTCGAGTGACAACACCAGCTCCACCTCCACCTTCGCCTAAATTTGTACTACACGATGTGATATGTCCACACACCGCAGCTTATCTAGGTTTGTTTAGTCCTTTGACGATGACACGTATCTTTGCTTCCGGTGGTCACATAGCACCATAACCAATTTCCAGCTTTTATGGATTTACAGGTTTTTTGACAATAAACAATAAGTTTTCGGTAATTGGAGGCATTGAGGGGATGTAATACAGCAGAACAATATAAGAGACTACTCTGTGGTTCTATGGGTGTAAATCTAGTATTCACTTACTGGAGTCCCTCAGATCAACGCATTGCTGTCAGTAGTGCTCACAAATTCCAGACAATAGCCATGATTCATCGTAGTGAATAAAATGAAGTGACAATTAAAAGGATAAAGGATAAAACTCTCGGCGTTGTTCAATCCCTGAGGAATGCGCCATGCGTTCGACTTCATTAAGTATCGTTGAACGTGATTGAATGTATATCTGGCCTTTACAATGACTCGTGGTGGCCTACCGATGTGTCGAGCCAGTGCTGCTATCCTCCCAGACAAGTCTGGTACCAATTTGCCCACCCCGGAAGGATGGAGGCTTGGTGGGCCATGGACGCGTGGATCGATTCCACATGGTTGTTCCAGGGCGCTTCCGACCACTGCACCACACGGACCCGTACAGTGACAATTAATCAAATAAAACAATAAATAGTAATAAAACTAAGCAATTGATAAAGTGCAGTTACAATAAAGATCGACTTTGTATTAGCCTCGACATTGTTCGGTACTTCACTGTTTTCTTCAAACACGAGACTTTAGCAACACCAACCTAAGCAAGTAGTATACAGGAACCTCCAGTGTGCTCGTCAAAAAAAAACACCGAGTTGTTAGTTAATTGTTAGTAACATTACCCACCAGTGAACACATTCGAAAGATTGTTTTCCTCTTCAATTATGAAGTGTAAAAACTAGCTCTATCGATCCCACCTCCCTACTTTGATCTGCTTTCGGTTAGCTATTTAATGAGTACATATAGTATGGTAAAATGTTCTGGAATCCAATAAACTGGAAATGTACACTGAAGTATACATACCGTCCGTTATTGGTAAACTTTCCATCGCCATGTACACGGATTTTTATATGTACACCGTTGTTCTTTTTCGGACTGTACATCTGGATTTCAATTTGCTCTCTTCTTTCGGGTCTATTTCGCCGTACAGAGTTTTTTTGCCACTCTTCGCGGTCAGCCGACAGGTTGTCCAACACAGATTTTATACTAGAGCCGATCCATGGTTAGGTATTCTCAGTGCGCTGTACTAGCAAGAAGCCATTTTCGGATGGTGAAATGGGATCGGTGGTTATAAAAAATAAGGAAGAGACAGAGAAGTACGCTTCAACTACCATAGAAAATTATGCGGAAGGTTAAAAAGGCCTTGGCTAATTGGACGAATTTTTTTTCCCTTCTCGAGCAAGAGATGTGCAAGAACATGGTAACATACACAGACGAACATAGTGGGTACGTAGAAGTTAAAGAGACGCGGGAAAATATGTGAGGGAACCGAGTGATAGAACGATAAGCTCAGGAAACTGGTTTGTCGTGTATCTTCCATGGACTAACAGACCTACATCTTGATTTCAATTCGCATTTCGATTACACTCTAGTAATACGTGGTCCGATGGGCCTGACACGCCAAAGTGGCTGTGGTCATGAAAGACTTAACTTCTTACGATGATCCATTCCTAGACTGTATTTTTTCTACCTTTTCCGGTTACTTGCTTACTCCCGAATTCTTTGACATGCGCAGTTGCTGAAAATTATTCTGATCGTCGTGATACTATGGATAAATGTCATTTATGAGATATTTATTCTTTCATTGATAAACTAACACGAGGTTGATAAAAAACTATTCGGCTAACGTCTCGATGCCTCTGTTCGTCATACCCAGAGGGATCTGAGTCGATCGTCTACAGTTCTTTTCTTCCGATTTGGGTTTTTTGATCTCATCCAGTATAATCCAGTGGAGCACCGCTCGAATAAAGAACTTCACTAGGCAGTACTCTTTTCTACAGAACAGTTGTTGTTGTGAATTCATGTTGATTTGAAGGAATACATATCGACTAGTCATACTGAGGTTAAAGGAAAGTCAGTTTGTTTAATATTTTTATGCAATGTGCCAGATGAAGCATTTATATTATTTAGAAGAAATGGCCTGATGTAGCAGCACCGTGGGTAGCGGTGCCGTGCAAAACACACGTGCTAGTCGATTGGTTCTCGCGTCTCGGGCTTATAAAGCCATTCATCCCTTCGGGGGTCGAGAAATTGGTACCAGATTTGTTTAAAGGAATGAAACCACGGTTTTATTACATGGCTAATCTAAAGCATCTATTTATATATGGCGATGTGCATCAAATCATCCTTGCTATGCTTCATGAAGTCGAGTACGCGGTGCATCCTTCAGGGCCGAAAGTTTTATCTTTTATCCTTTTAAGTCATTGAAATTATATTGGGATATCCTGTTGAAGACATATGTATCAAAAAGTGAGGAGGCGTTATACTGAGGTTGGTTTTGAGGTACAAAATTGTTGCAGCATTGGTTTCTATTCTATTAATATTTATGTTGATACCTTGGAGTTTGCTTTAATTGTATGGCTTTCAGAATAGTATGGAAACTTTTTAGGCGCACTTAATCTTCCCTTGTATGCATCAATCAAACCAACTAATGATGCGAAGGAAGTAGTTCATTGCGACGGAGAGAAACCATCCACATCGACAAACACTGTTAAGGAAGAGTCCGTAGAAGATAGTTCTAATCCTGGATCGAGCCCAAAGGTCACTGTGCTCGAGAATGGAGACTGTAAAGTGAGTGTCTGTCTATGAGCAAGGTAGCAATCTTTTCAGTGTATGAAAGAACAGCGGCGTCTGACTTTCTCTGCTTAAGAAGTGTTGTGTAATTTCCACTTCTGAAAGATATCAGTTAGTTCTGATATAGTTCATTTACATTTACGTTTATAGTCACTATTGTTCAATAACGCACAGTTATAAACATTAAGTTTGTGGCCACCATATCGTTATACTATTAAATTTGTTTTCCGATGCTTTGTGTGTGTTTACAACTCGTTACTGTTTTTGTTTTTGTTACCAGATGTTGAGCATCACTTATGACGTCGTTGCTTTAGGTATTCAAAGAGGAAATCCATGAAGAAAATAACGAGAGCGGGGCAGCAACATCAGAAGGTCCAAAGGAAGTGAAAAAGGAGTCAACTGATAGCGTAAGTTTTTTTCGGTGGTAAATGTTGCTGTTACAGCTTTTCAAAGCAAATGCCAACAAAAAATGAGACACTTACTTTTAGACCGTCATCTTAACTCTTTTTTTTAATCTATTATTAACGTATCCTCCCAACGGTTTACCGCCTCATCGTGGCTAGGTATTCTTGGGTATCAGACTGCGATGTTCAGCATGAGGATTCATCTTCCCAGCAGAGTCTCCCGAGCTGAGAAGGAGCCCGGCGTTTCCATCAGAAGCCCAGCTAGGGGTAAACCAATATCAGGATCCACCACCGTCGTGATATCAAACTAGTCGCATGGTGGCAAATCGCCCTTTGATCCACAAGGGTGGCGATTGCCAGTAGTGGTGACGACCAGCGGCAGACTTTGGTCAGGCTGTTCTCGGGATTCCAGTAAACCACAATGGCTAAATCAGCAAAGCTCCGAGAAACTGGAAATTACTAAACCAGCAAAACTCCATGCAAATGGAAATTATACTGGTCTGTTAACGTAGGCCGCGGGTGCCGCAGTGGTCGGAGGCGCCCTGCAACACTTACGTGAAATCGATCCCCGCCCCCATTTCCCACCAAACGTTTCATCCCTTCGGGTTCGGCAAGTTGGTAGCACATTTGTCTTGGAGGATAACAACGCTGGCTCGATACATCGGTAGGCCACCGCGGGCCCTTGTATAGGGTAGATATGCATTCAATCACCTCCAAACCATGCTTAATGAAGCCGAATGCATGGCGCATCCCTCAGGGATTGATCAATACCGAGAGCTTTATCCTTTTTTTTGTACTAACGTATTCAATTTCTTCATTAAAGAGATTTGCTATGCGCATTCTTTTAGTTGTTAGAAAATTTAATATTTTGCTTTTCAGTCGACCGACAGTTCGACAGATAAACTTCCTTTTGTGGAAGAAATGATATTTGACGAGTACTCATTGTTATTGTTTACACGTTTGTCAGATGCACAGGTACGCTTTGAAATTACAACTTTTGTATAAATTTTATAACCACATCCACCTACTTCACCAACGTTTGTGTCTGTTGAAGTTCTTACCGCAACTGTTTCGAATCTTCTTTCTGATCATACTGACACCACTGTTATTACTAGGTTTCTAAGTATTCCTTAAAGTGCTGATTTTTGAGAGTCCAAAATCTCTGCAAGTCGCATATCCATTTTTTTAACCGCATTAAACTTTCCCAAGTCGTGACTAGTATCTGCTTAGTAGAAAAGCTTGTTTTGAAGTGTACGGAAAACTTTTGACAGTTCCATTTGTTACCGTACTCATTTTATGATAAGTTGTAGTGTTTGGAAGATTTCTTAACAGTCTAGTTGGTTTAATGTGCATTGGACACCACGCTAACAGGTTTCATACAAAAATGAAAAGTCTTTTTTATGCCTACGTTTTCTCTTTATGTTTTGCTCAAACAGCATTACAGTTGTTTTTGTGGATTTTAATAGTACATTTACATGTTTTAACATTATTAGTTTCTGGATAGAAGCATGGAGGTACTGTTGGTGTTATTCTGTTGTGATTCCTGGGAGTACACGAAATGTGGTTTAATATTTTCAATCTTCTCCTGTTATTTTCTCCTCGCCAATGTCCATCATTTTCATTTACGGTTCTTCAGAGGTTCTGTAGGAGTAAATATCTTCTTCATAGATTTTTTAATAGGATTTCTTGTCTAACTTCGTTTAATTTTATGCTTGTCGAAGTTATTTCTACGTTTTTTCGGGATAGTAGTTTTCTAACTTTCGGATTTGCTCCATTGTATTAGCATATAACAGTGACTCGAGGATATGGTAGGATTGTTTTGATTCGTCCACGTCGCTTGCCAAAGCTGCTTAGTTCGATTGACAGGAAAATAAGGATCATAATTTCGATGTAAGACCACGTATCTAACGCTTTTTGTTAACTTTTCCGTGGTTCAACCACTAACTTTCTGAGGTAGCCATGCGTACGGTCTCTTGTAATTTAGGTAGAGTTTGAGGTAGACTTCGTAACAAAGCTAGACTTGAAACACTAAATAAGAGTCAACAAGAACAAGCAAGCACCTTACCACTACCGCCGTTTCCTAAAGTGTTCTTTGAACAACGAAATTCCAACAGAAATTGATATTTAGCAAAATGATAGTTTCTTGTCAAACATTTAAAGCCATTAATTATTACTGTGCAAATAGGTCACTTCAACGTCACAGAAACACAAAAGTGTTGAATGCGATAGGTTCGCAAGCTGATAATATTAAAGAGGACTGCGCTATCAGCTAGAGAGAAAAGCGGAGAGTTTGTGGTGTTTTCTCGTCACTTAGATATAGAGGCAACGAAAAGAAATCTTGAAGTTTTTTCTTTATATGCCCTTATCTGAAAAGGAATTCGAAAGTCAACACCGAAAATTGAACAACGGATTGCTCAAGGTGACAGAAGCGCCAGATTTAAAGCCATCAGTTGTTTCTCAGCTTAAAATTTATTTACCTATTTACCACCATGTCTATTCTTGTGTTATATTTATTAAAACACAAGTTAGTACCCACCAATGATCTTGTGTCCACCGATCCTTCATTATTCAATGTTAGGCCCTTCATCGGCTGTGTGAATGGGTCAACCGGTGGAACACGTGCTTTTTAGCCCTAGTACTTACCTAGTTGTTGAAAAACATTCCGGTCCATCTTACGAATACCCAGATGTCCATGGTTCGTCTGCATAACGCGCTTCCTAGTAGCGAATACGTGCTGGAATCCTTCGACATTATCGTCCTTTATACAAAATAACTCCGCTATGTTAACCATCTTTGAACTCTTTGTGCAACACGATGGAACAATGAACATGTATAGCTTCTCGGTTCAAAGGTGGATGGCACTTTTAAAGGAGTGCCTGCTCATACTTTAGATGGTCTAGGAAGTACTAAGCTCAAATGATAGGGTTAGCAATGTGAAAACGACTAGGAACAAGCCTTGTATTGCATTTATGTATAGAGTGGATGAACCAGTAGTCGATCTCCCGTCATTACTTTATATATACATATGATTGTTTTATCATCTGCTCCACATAAGAGGAGATGGAAAAGTGTTTTGAGTTATTGAACCAACAGTCAGAGTACATGGAGTTTACTCGAGAAAAAACAAAAAGAAACTGGCGTCCATTTTTGAACGCTCATATTGACCTATCCGAAAACGGCCGCGTCATAAAGTGGTATCGAAAGTTAAGTAACAAAAACATAGTGGTTCATTATCTCTCTTCTTGCCCCTCAGACACGAAAAGGACGCTTTTGAGAAACATGTTTCGAACAGCTACCAGTGTGGTCACAGGAAGAGAGCAGAACACAAAATTCTTTTAATTGACTGGGCAAATATTCATTTCTATTAGCTGCAAAACTGTGGCTGCACGGGATTGGATAGGTTTGTGAGAGAAACAACGCCCCCAAACAATAAGTCTGAGAAAAATAAGGACCCGTTTATTTTGCCTTTTATTTTCAACGTGATTGTGACAGCTTTAGAGCGTTGATTAACGAGGGCCGACTTAGAGAATTCGGCTACAGTGGTTGAAATATTGACGAACCCTCTAGGACGGCAGCTAGTTCGCAACCGATTGTTTGATCGTCAGTATACAAAACCAAATTGCGTAATATGCTTTAACAGTGGAGACGGTGCGTCCGCATCAAGGAACATGTAGTCGGTGAACTTAAAGTTAAAACAAATACTCGGCGAGCATAGGCCACGGCGGCATAACGGCGGAGAACATTTCGAAGTAGGAGTTACCATCCTCGCACAAGAATCGAAAACTCTGGAAGCATTCTGGATAAATCCTAGGAATCGTAGAGAGGAATTCCTTGCTATCACACGTGATCTCGCACAATATCGCAGACTGATGTTTTAATATGAGAGAGGCGCATTAGTCATCCATGTGAACACCGTGCGGTCTGCACGTATAAGGCTTGCAGAAAGCGATGAGTGTTTGAAGAAGCTGTTTTGTTTCTAACGAGATTGAAATTGAGGTATCATTGTTTTTCTGTTGAAGATTTAGAGGTATTTTCCTGTTTACGTTGCAGTTAACTTGACCTTTCTAGGCTCTGAAGAAGACGAAATCCGCCGAGACGTTAGCTATTGTGAATACACAGTATAATAGCAACCTCGTGTATGCTAGCCCTGAAAACAACGAATTATCTCGGAAAATATCTCTAGAATATTCTCCGTAATCTTTGAATGTGTACTATCATTTAGTATAACTGGATGTTTTTGAACATATAAACGATTCAATATGGTAAGGCAAATAGGCTAAGCTGGGCTACATCGCGTTCAATTGGTATATTGACCAATAGTGAGATTCTTTAATATGTAAAGAATCGCTGTCGTCCAGGAACAATCTGAGTCGGAGAGCAGCAGACTTACTTCTGGTCTAAAGTGGCCGTCGACCGTAGTTAGTGTAGACCTGAGATTGTTTTAGTACGACTATTGCGGAATTCTATGTGAAATCACATGCCCTTCCATCGCCAACTCTAGACCTTTCAATGAAGAACACGATAACAGCAGGTCTTGAAATGCTCGCCAAACTCCTTGTATCAATCGGAGCATCTCTATGAAAAACAACTGCAAGACACTAAAATGAATAGGAGAGGTGGTGATACACGCACATAATGTGAACATGGGTCATCCAAGTGTTTAGATATTGTAATTTCGGGGATGGAGAGGAACGATTGCTCGAATTCATGTTATTCGTAAAGTCGTCAAAGGTGTTTTTCACCCGATTCACTAGTTGTTTAAATGTTCTTCAGTTGTTTTCAAATTTTTCCAAAATCAATTTATGATTAACAGCACATAATTTCTTCCAAACACTAATCTTTATAAAGACTGTGCCTTTCCTTTTTCACTAAATATGGAGAGGTTTTTTCTCATGTTTATGACCTGGAATGCGTCTGATGCTGAGATATTCGCAAAAGTTGGATCTCGTGCCAGATCGAGCCATGATTTCCCTTTCCGGGGCTCGCGCATAAGGTGGTGCGCCAAGGAGGCTCTTTGTGTTTCTCTCAGCCGGTTTTCTATCTATCGGTGCCATCAGCAATCACCCGTCAACGGGATTGATTTGGTGAGCCCACATCGGCATTGAACCCAGTTAAGCTGAGGCTGCAGTCAAAATCACAATGTTAACTTTTTTTATTTAATACCTACTACAATTTTCACGGTAGGGTATTATGCGAAATAATTTTGAACTTTTTTAATTTAGTAATTCTCGAACTATTGTTACTTAAACCAATCATGTTCACAATTTTTTAAGCCTTGAAATTCAATTTCTATTGTAGAGCAACTGGTTTTGATCGCTCACCTCATTTGTGAATGGTTCTTCTTTATCGGTCGAAACTATCTATTGGAAAATCAGTGGTCCACAAAAAGCTGTTCTTTTTTCATGGTTTTCAAAGTTTGGGTAAATGAATTTAACAACAAATACTGTTATCTAAGCGGCTACTGGTTAGAATTTAGATGCTTTCCCTACTTTTTTCTTAGTGACGTCCTTTTCAATGATTGAAGATTGAAAAGGATTGCAGAGACAGTTTTTTTCTAAGTTTCGATCATCTTCTGAATTACCGCTGGACAGCTGCGTTTTGTTCTCGCACGGGTGATGGGAATTCGAAATATATGCCTAGCTGTCTTTTTTTTTTCTCGAACAAAAATCGTTTAGGATATTTTAAGCTTGAAGCTCGAGCGTAATATTCTATTGTTGCCTATCATTAGCAACATTTATAAAGAAAACAGAGCAAAACGAAGGCCAGCCCATTAAACTTCGAAAGAACAATTCACATCTCGAATGTCTTTTGCGCTTTGTAAAACTGCTGACAAAAGCTGAATCTGAAAAAGATTTTACTTTTCACGAATCTCATTTGTAATTTTAGGTAGGCCTAAACTGGTCAGTGAGGATTTTTGGAACTCAATTCCAATAACATCCTCAGAGCTTTTGCGGCATCTGAGTTTTTTTAGCTAAGAGAATTGATAAATGCAAATTATACGTCATGGTTATGTTTGTTCCTCAACTAATGAATGTGTCCTAACGGTTTACGGCTTCATCGTAGATAAGAGGTGTTCCCGGGTATCGGGCTACGAAGTACAGCGAAGCTCATTCTCTCAGCAATGCCTCCCAGGCTGAGAAGGAGTCCGACGCTTTCGTCCGGATATCCAGGTAAGAGTAAGCCAATACTAGGAGTTACCACCATCCTAGTATCACTACTCGCATAGTGGCAAATCTCCCTTTGATCCACGAGAATGGCGACAGCGTCGGGTGGTGACGATTAGAGGAAGGCTTTGGCTAGGCTGACCTTGAGAATTCAGAGAAGCAAAATAGCTAAATCGGCAAATATTGAAATTCTGGTGGAACGCGCACAGCCAGTGAACACGGGCCATCCAAGTAGTAAGTAGTAAGCGTATCACCACTACTGCGAATGACAATTGAGGGCTTCTTCGATGGGATTGACCCCACGAATATGTCGATATTTGTTCAGTTCTTCGTTTTTTCTTTAGCATAAATTCAGTGAGATGGAATGGCTGCCGGTTGGATTCTTCAATATTTTCTCGCCTTGGGATTAAATTCTTTGCCAGAAGGAAGGTTGCAAAAGAGCATTGTAAAAATGCAGGGATGGAGCACAGCGAATGTGCTGAATTTAATTATTTGCGAAACTTAGTGGCATACCAGAACTATTACTGAATAATTAAATATTTTTTTCCTTGTTTTTCTGGACAAAGTGCACATCTTGACGTTTGATGTTCTGGAGGAAATGGAGTTTATTAACGAATCAGTAGTGATGGTGCTTATGTTGAGGTGGTGACCTGTTGGAAGATTTTTGTGTATTTATAAGTATTCACTGAAGAGATGAATAGATTTGAGTGTTATGTAAATGTAGTGACTTGATTTGAAATGAATTCTGTGAAATCCGATGAAAATGTCAGGTTTCATAGTCAGGATATTCCTGTCTTTTTTCTCCACTGTAAATAATGGCTTTATCGTCTACTGTACACAAGATCTGGACAAATATTATAAATTATTGAGTGTGTAGTCAGATTATGTAAAATTTGCGCCAAAAAACCTAAAAGGCATTGGATTTCATTTTTAATCCTTTAAATCTATTTGTCAAAGAACGGATTCATCACAGAGTGATTACGAAAGCCATCCGGAAAACGTGGTCGCGTTCTTTGGGTAAGAATCAAAAACATCGGCAAACAAAGGTCTTCAGGTATTTTGGATAAATTCCAGAAGTGAATTAGAAGAATGAACGCTTCGCTATTATGCATCACCAGGCGATGTATTTTGGGTTAATTTCTTAATGTAAATGAGTTTCTTTTATCCCATGTGAACAACGTAACCGTTGTGTCTTTTTTTAAATCCTAGGAAACGACAATGGTAAGTGCTTTTAAACGGATTAACAATTTACTTTATGCGTTGCATTTTAATTAAGACTAGGAAGTAGGAGGCAATCGAGTATTGCTGTATAGCAACGTCGAAGCTCTGAAAAGGGCGACGTCTCGGGAATGTTAGCGTTCGAAAATCAAAAATAGAGTTTCCAACCTAGGATATGGTCTAGGATACATCATATAATGTATGCCGATCGGTTCATCTCTTTTAAAAGAAACATCTTAAAAATTTTGGTTTAGTCGTAACTCATTCGTGGTATGAGGTAAATTTTGAATAACGGCAATGAGAATTCGAAATCCGTAATTATCATGGTTGAAAGTGAGTGGGATTTGGAATTCGGCATATGGGAATTTTTGGTCATGGTTTATTCATTCGTGTTACGATTGATTCAGCACACACTTCGGCGATCGTAGTTTAGCCTTAATATGGAATGAATCGGAAAGCAATAGTGAATTTTTGTTTAACACTTATACAAGACTGACGTCATCTGGTACTTGTTTATCGAGCTTTTCCAACCTTTTTACGACAAATTTCTATTCAACCGAACATCCTCACAGTATCGCCGACAATTTTCCAAGCCTTTAAGCCAACGCTCATCCGAGTCGTGTATATCACTTTTATCCGCTATAACATTCCTGTTGACTAAGTAACCCGATTGGGCAGCAAGAAAGTCTCTATTAGTCGTTTTCCGGTTACAGAGGCTGTTCGATTAGTTCTAGTTGTTGGAGTGAGATCCATAGTGTCGTCATTTTGTGTTAAAAGCGGTAAGGTCACGACTGACCCCTCTAGGGCCGTTGTGTGTTGTAGTTTGTAGCACTCATTGCTCTCTGCATCATCGTGTGTAAAGTGATGAATTATTTGCGGTTAATGAAGGGGGGAAAGTGCAGTGGTTTTGATTTATATCTACATAAGACTTTTGAACGCTTTTTAATCTTTCATCATTGCAAAATTGGCTCTCATTAACGTGATTTCGACTATAGGAAAACAGTAATTTTCAAATCGGCTATCATCTAACCTCGGCAGTAGTAGTCAATACCTTTTTGGATTGTTAAGCTTACACGTGGTCGTTAATAAGTTTTATTCGGCTAACGTTGCGACGTCCACGTCTTCATCAGAGCCGATGATCCGAGTCTATCATCTGCTGTGAGAAAGACGATAACGTCAAAACGTTAGCCAAATAAAACGTATTTAACAATCTCTTGCAACCTTAATAATTCAAGAAGGTCTTGGTTATAGGGTTTTTTTCAAGTGAAAGAATTTGTTTGCTTTGCGGATATGGAGATTGCATGACGTTAATGGATCATTTTTTAAAATTCATACAAACACTGGACATGGTGTTTGTTTAACTGTTTAAGCTATAAGATATCAAGAGCTTCGACACTCCAATCCACTTCCTCGTTGTTTAAGTCATTTTCCTTGAGAAAGATTCATGCCTTTCTTTAGTATTCTTTTAATTCATTCTTTTAAGCACATTTTTGCAGTTCTTGGAGGTCTTCGTTAATAACGCGACAAGCACAATTGTTTCAGTTGTTCGAAAAGGAACTGGAAACTGTTCGGACCCGGGAAGAGCTGGAAAAGAAGCGAATCGCTGCTGAGAAGGCCGCACGTATCGAAAAATTAAAGAGGAAGATTCGAGCTAGGAAGGTACGAGTTTGTTTTTCTTCTTTTTTCACTTCACTTTGTTTTCATCGTGAGCACTTTGTTATTATTTCTTGTTACTGCTCATATGAAGGATGGTGAATAATTTGTTTTGTGTTTGTTTTAAATGTGAACCAATTTTTGTAGAGAATGAGATTTTCTCCATCTTTTTTTCAAGTGTTTACGTGGGTGTCCGATGTTTAACCTCTTTACTAGAAGAATAAGGTAATTTAACATTACATTAGTAGTCGAACTGGTATTGTTCTCACTATGACCAATGTCTATTTGCGCTGAAAAACTGTCCATTATGTTCCGATCGTTAGAGCGCCATGTAATATGTGAAATTGGAGAAAAACTGTAAGGCCCTCTAAGTGTATTTGTCGACTGTCTGAACCATCCCGGGCCGTCCAAATATTTACTCACCGGCGATTCCTCGTGGACTATTCCAAAGCAGGTCGTGGTAGTATCCTAAATCGTTGCATTATCGTCCGTACAGGAAAGTATTCCTCAAAGGAATTATTGCTATTCAGGCTAGGTTGAGTTTTCTGTAGTTGTTTTCATAAAAGTCAATAGTTTTAATGAGGAGTATCGTCGTGTTCTTAAGCTGTCATAGGGCTTTCACGAGAAACGGATCCTTCTGTTTGTCTTTTTTCGGTAAGATTCCTAAGACTCGTTATATTATTAAGCCTTGTCAAACAGACATGTTTTCTGCATGACAGCGTTCATGCGTGAGTAGTAATTATTCCGTATGACAATTTCCATGCATGGATGGAAATGCTGCATCTGGTATATTCTTTAGTCTTTACTATTTCCGATTATTGTTTGTTCTGAGTCATCAAGAATTACTTGCAAGACGAGAGAGCGTGTGATTGAGCAAAAAGGGGCATCGATCATTTTTTTTCTTTGGACTTCGAAATCTCAGAGTTCAGAACGAAAGATAACCGAAAGTTGTCTGTACGTTGGGAACATGTGGGCTCGGGTTGATGATTTAGTAAGATTTCAGTAGAACTGTAACATACGAGAATAGTTTGTGTAGTCTTGTAAAGTTTGATTTGAATATCTTGTAGTTTTCGCTAATTAACTCGGGTATTTTCTATCGTATTTATGGAAATGGTAGATCGATCTTTGGTGAGAGTGCACTAAAAGTGTGCTCATTTTTCTCCCGTCCAATCACATTGCCCTTTTGTTTGGTCGTTTGCGACGAATCATCCACGTAATTTGCATCCTCATTCATCTTCCTCCCTCAGCAGTCTATTTTAATTCTTTACCGATAAGTGATTATTTCATTATTGATTCGGTTCCTTTTGTATGGACGTACCCATTTCAGTTGAAAAACTGCTCGACGGTTCGACGATGTCCAGTATGCATTGACTTCATTGCATTTATGACTGAAAATAATTTGGTTTTCAACTATAAGCAGGACTTTTCTACTCATAATGGAGTTTTACTAAATATACGAGAATTCGATCATCTACTGACTCCTAAATGAAATAGAGCCAGGCACCTAAATGCAAAAGATGAAGCTACGTTCACTTTGTCGTGATGGAATTACAAATTTCTGAAACTCTTGCATCATTTCTTTTTTTGTTTCTTTTTTTCTATCGAGAATCTTATATCTCCAGCAGAGAAGTGATAAGCGAGATTTGGTCCTGCACGTCATCATAGTGGTTGTTTTATCAATTTGCTATGTTACAACTTCTAATGTTAAAAGTGTAATATAAATTATAGAAGTAGATTAACATATATGTATATGTACGTATATGTAAAGGACATATGTATATATATGCATATAGCGGTCCTCCCAATCTCAAGTCCTCCCCGAGTTTATATCCTCATTGTGGTTCGGACTTGTTACAGGGTGTCGGGCTGCGATGTACAGCGGGGGATTCATCCCCTTTACAGGGTCTCCCAAGCTGAGAAGGTGTTCGGCGTTTCCATTAGGAAGTCTGACTAAGAGTAAACCATTACCAGGATCCAGTACTGTCCTGGTATCAAAGTCGCATGGTGGCAAATCTCCCTCTGATATCACAAGAGGTGCGAGTGCGTGTGGTTGTGAAAACCTGGGTCAGACTTTGACCAGGTTGACCTCGGGATTGGGAACCACAATAGCTTAACAAACAAATCTCTGAGAACTGGGGATTATTGGAGCTCGCACAGCCAGTAAGGGCAGGCCATTCAAGTATCAAGTAAATATATATGTATGTATATATATATACAAGGTATTCCAGGTAAGTGTTTACCCAAAAGCAGTATTCCTTTAAAGACATCTATTTGAGGTATGTAAGGCGACCGGTCGTAGTGAAATATTCTATTCACTAGAACGATAATTAAATGATTTCATATGAATTATGTAATATGATGACCCTAAGCAACATGGTGTTTCGCAATTTTACGCTTAATATTATGTAAACATCAGATTGCTTTCATATTCTGTGGTTGATAAGAAGGGTAAGAAGGACACAAGCTCATCGCAGCTCGAAAAGTCCGTGATAAAATCGAAATTACACTTTTTTCGCTGAAAATCCGTAAATTTATAAAAAAAAATGCCAAAAATGAGTCAAATGATTGAATAATTGGCTATCAGGCGTGGCCTGGCGCTGTAGATCGTCTCGATTTTTCAGTATGGGTCTCGCTGATCATCTCAGGTGAACTGTTTGTGGGTGGTGGTTTTCCTTAGAAAATAAAGACGACGAGAGCTTTTCAAGAGATGAATGATTTGGTTTGTGTGCAGGGTTCCATTACGACTGTGGGATAATCACCGAGTAAACCTGTATAACAGTGTATTCGAACTCTGAAATAGGTAAAGTTATCGAAACATTAGGCATCGAAAATCAAACCTACATGTTAAGAGCGTCAACTGTGTTACGTCATCAAAGAGTGTTCATTATAGACTTAAATAACTGGTTTAAGAATACCGAACTTCACTATAATTCGGTCTATCGAATTATGGATAAGGTTATTCATTAGGACTGTTACTAAATGAATGACAACTCTTAAGGAATTTCTCTAAAGTCACGCCAAAATGAAGCATCTTAATTTAGCTTATAAGGTTATTAAAGTATTAACTACACAACCGGTTGTATCTCCACTTTACTTCAACGTACCAGGTTTTCCTATATACCACTTGTGATGGATTTCAATTTGATGATTCAGCTAACCTTCCTGTTCATTGAAGTGAAGGGCGCATGTAGCGCAGTAGTCGGAGGCAATCTATAACACACACGTGGAATCAATCCCAGCGCCTACGGCCCACCAAGCCTTCCATCCGTTCGGAATCGGCAAATTGGTACCAGATTTGTCTGGGAGGATAGCAGCGTTGGTTCGATACATCGGTAGTCTACCGCGATTCATTGTACACGCCATATATGCATTCAGTCACCTCCAAACGATTGATGCATAATGAAGAGGAATGCATTGCTGATTCGTCAGGGATTGATCAACGTCGAGAGCTTTATCTTTTTTTACTCATTGAAATGAGTTTTTTTGTTCCCCAAACTTAGAGTTCTTAGCAATTTTCCAGCTTGATATTCTCAATAGGCTTTTTTCCTTTTTTGGGAAACTTTTATGTGATATGAGATTTAGATATGTGACCTTTATGGTTGTTACCTATGCTCTGTCGTTATGAATTTCGATATTTTATTCGTATTATTGAAACTTATAAGGCGCATAGGCCTAATAATCTTATGAGAGGCGTAGACCTAACAATCAATATTCGACTTGTTAATTTCAAAAATCGGTTGACGTCTTCATCACTAGTTCGTTATTTAGGATTCATTCATGATGTCATCTTATGAAATGTGAAATCAGTATGTGCCACCTTAGGTCCGGAGTCATCATTAGAGGGAGGATGTTCTTTTACGATTAACTACGTTTCTGTTGAAGGACGTGAGACAGAATGAGAAGAGAAAAAAGTAAACGAATTATGTTTGTTACCGATAGCGAACGATCACTTTTCTGCACTTTTGCGTTCGTCGTGCAATTTCTCCAAATTGCCACTTAAGTGAAAGTCGAAAAGAACACTGGTGTTGTAAAACATTAAGTGTTAACGAAGTGACAAGTAGACTGAGTAGTTAATCTGATGCAGGTATGGCGAATCGTATCTTAAAGGGATAAAAAGGGTAGAGCTTTCAGTATAAATCAGTTCCTGGGTGATGCGCCATGCATTCAACTTCACTAAGCATCGTTGGAGGTGACTGAATGCATATCTGGCCTATACAATGACTCGCGGTGGCCTACCGATGTATCGAGCCAGTGCTGCCTATCCTCCCATACAAAACAGGCATTAATTTACCTACCACTGCGTTATGGAAGGCTTGATGAACCTTGTACCCGAGGATCGATCACAGTCATATTCCATGGCGCCTCCAACCAGTGAGCTACACGCATCCATGGATCATAAGTTAGAACATTTTAATATAAATCTATGGTAAATTTTCCAAGTGGTTCCAAATTATTCTTGTTTTTTCTTCATACACGAGCCTGACAATTTTTTCACTATACATGGATAATTAGTTTTTTCCTTAATATATCACAAATTCGCTTCGATGTTCGTTCAGTACTTGTTAAGTTTCCGTTGTTCCTATCTGAGCGGCCTTCCCAGGTCTTGTGATCTACCCAGTGGGCATGTAGGTCAAAAACGAAATCGGTCTGGGAGAAAATCTCCACGCCCTTTATTGATAGGATAGGCTGTGCGTGACATTTCGCCGAAGTTAGACATTCGAGTTTACAATCCATTTCTAGGTTTTTCATTAATATCTTCTTGAAGGGCGCCAACTTCTACATCAGATTCCTCATGGTGTTGTAACTCTGAGGGTCTTAAATGTTTGATCGTTTGACAACAAGTAATCTCATCATGTATTCTTTTATTGATAGGCCAGAAGTGTTCTAACAAGTATTATGTCTTATTTTACTATCGATTTTTATTCTATTTGGTGAAAATCCGATTTCATCTCTCAACTTGAGAATCATCGATCAATATCATCACGTTTCTGTGGATTCATTTAGAA